CTTCTTCCTCATGTTTGGAAGACAGCCTCGCTTGCCTGTGGATGTAGCTTTTAGGATCAGTGAGCCTCAAGGAAGTCAGTCCAAGACCGACTACATCAAGCAATTGAAACAACGCCTTGCTGACTCGTACAAGTTGGCCACAGAAGCAGCAGAGAAAGCGAGAGGAAAACAACAGGATCTATACAACATCAAGATCAGAGGGGCTACTCTCAGTTCGGGGGATCGCGTCTTAGTAAAACAACTTGCTTTTGATGGGAAGCATAAACTGGCCGACAAGTGGGAAGAGGACACCTATATTGTTGTGGATCAACCTAATCCAGATATTCCTGTTTACTGCGTACAGAAAGAAAATGGAGAAGGAAGATCAAGAACAGGAAAAAGAAGCACTGGCTGTAACTTCTGTCAAGGCCATTTGCAACAGATGCCAAACTCCAACTTATGTAGAAAGCTTGTGTTTATCTGCAGAAGTCATTCAGGATGATGACGACGACAACAAACATACCATCGCCACTATGTCTCTCAGGGAATGGAGGAAAGCTCAGGACAAGGATCTAGTGCTCCACAAAGTCATTGCTGGGATTCATCAAGGTAACATCCCAGAAGATATACCAATAGCTCTGGCCAGGGAATTCAACCATCTTGTATTTTGCCATGGAGTTCTCTACCGTGTAACTGTTTATGATGGTATTAAGAAGAAACAGTTAGAAAGGCCCAAGTCAAGTTTGGTGACCTTGACCTTTATTTCAAGGTCACAAGGTGACTTTAACGTTTTACCTGCATGTTAAGCTATCTCAAGAACCGTTCTCTGGATTTTCTTCATATTCAATACCAAACTTTATCTAGGGATAGCGCAGGGCCAAGTCGATTTTGGTGACCTTCACATAATTTTCAAGGTCATGGCGACACTTTGAAGATTTCAGCATGTAAACCTGCATTTTAAGCTATTTCAAGAACTGTTCCCTGGATTTGATTTTCTTCATATTAAACACCAAGTTTTATCTAGGCAAGGCGCAGGGCCCAGTTAATTTTGGTGACCTTCACTTAATTTTCAAGGTCACAGAGACACTTTGAAGATTTCAGCATATTTACCTACATGTTATGCTTGTCAGCAAGATACCTCAAGAACCATTCACTGGAGTTTCTTCATATTTGACACCAAGCTTCATTGAGGGAAGGCGCAGTGCCCAGTCCATTTTGGTGACCTTCACTTAATTTTCAAGGTCGCAGAGACACTTTGAAGATTTCAGCATGTTAAATTGCATGTTAAGATAGCCAGCAAGATATCGCAAAAAATATTCACTGGATTTTCTTCATATTTGACACCAAGCTTCATCTAGGGAAGGCCCAGGGCCCAGTCAATTTTGGTTGACTGGTCATGTTTTTGTTGACATTTAACTTCATCTTAAACTTTCATTACTTTATAAATTTGATTTGATCATTTGCGGCGGGGAATTATGTCACCTTAGTGATAATGCTAGTTTTGTATTAATCTATCCATCCTCGATAATCTCCAGGGTATACGTTCCGATAAATCTCCACTACACCCTGGATGCATCTACAGCTCGGCCCAATGATTTTATTACCTCCCTTTGCTGGCTCCGCATTCTCACAGTAGCCAATCAGATAAGCTGCAGTTACAAACGAGCTTGCAAGTGTCAACAAAGATAGCAGTCGTAGCCGCGAATGTTTGTTTGCAGTGCGACTGAGACTTGGGGGAAAACATACTGACAGATTGACAGGTCTGAAACTTTAAATCATATATATGCAAGAACGCCTTCTACCTCTTTCAGAGTACCTCTGCAACAATATATTATTGTGTTGCCAAGTTTAATCGGTTAGATAATTTAAAAAGTAAAAGTGAGTTGTGATTGATACTCTCAACTTCCCAGTTTAAACACCTGATTGGATAAAAAGCCAACCAAGGGAGGTAATAAAATCATCGCCTCGAGCCGTAGATGCATCCAGGGTATAGTGGAGATTTATTGGAACGTACACCCTGGAGATTATCGAGGATGTAATCTATCATGCTGTGAACAATGTGCATTAACTGGCAGAGCTCCAGATAAGCTTTTGGCTATGTGGGTATGATACCCATACTTGTGAAACTAAGTGGGTATTTCCAATTTCATGTGGGTATCTATACTTTTTTATACCCACCATATTTTTAAAATCCAGGTATTTATTTCAAATAATGAGTTCATTCGATAATAGAGATAATACAAGATCCTCCAGATTAAAGATGAATAACAAATAATGCTAAATTATAGCTAATAGCTAATACAGCTTTATCCACTCGTGCTGTGAGAAATATTATGTGCCTTAGTCTACATCTGTTTTGGTGCCGCGAACAGCTAATGTTACAATTTCATTTAAGATATCACCGTCAATTGAATCTGATTGTGAAATACAGCACTTGCCTTTTAATTCATCTAGCAGTCAATTGGCTTGAATTGATATGATACAAAACACGATTTTGACGTATTGGGTAAATACGCATTGTTATTTTGACATAGCGTAAACGTAAATATTTAGTGTTTTTTCATACGCTGGTATATATTTTTCTTGCATATTTCAACTTTTCTACAGCGTATTATATGCAAATACGCAGCTTATCTGGCGCTCTGACTGGTATGTGCTATGTGTGTGTGTTCTTGTTTAGTCAATAGCACATTGGCCCAGAGACTTGTTAAGCACCTTCACATTGTTAATCAGAGTTTCCTTTGGGTTATGGACACACAATACTCAGATTATGTATTTCCCTTTATACTCCTTGACAGTTGTTTTGACACACTGATGAATCATGTTAAGGTCACCCCAGGAAGAAAAGTTTGTTTCAATGGTATCTTAAGAGGCATTAACGGTATCAGTGTATGTCAATCAAACGTTCATATCATCCTCTGGAATAGGTCCGCTATCTGAAAAGATATGCTTTAGACATAATATAAATATTTGGTATTTACTGTTGAAATCAACTGAGATGCGACTGGCAGCTGATAGTGCAAGCACTACCCGTGTCCTGCACATGCGCTGCCCGCACTACTCGTCTTGTGATCACAATCACTTTCTTCACAGTGATCCTTCGTAGCCTAGTGGATAAGCTAGTTAAGCGAAGGTTTGCAGGTTTGAAACCCTGAATCTGCACATAATATTGGATGTTTTCAATAATGTGATATTTTACGATCTTAATCAGTAACAGCAAGACAAAGTTATGTCAATCTTCAAAACAAGTAAAATAATTCAAAGTCAAGGGCTATTCCTCAGAAAATCCTCGGGGGCTGCGGGCAATTCTGTAGAAAATCGCTGGCATTTCTTGGAGAATGTCCACAAAACTGCCTGTTGAGGTTTACTCTGTGAAACGAGAACCCAGGCAGACAATAGAGTGCCGTCACTGGAGGTTAGTAATTTTAGTTGTTTAGTTTATTTCACTGTTAAGCTCATGCAGTGAATACAAGTCAGTCATGTTTGTGATAGTTCATTTTTGGAAGATAAAATCTAGTACACATAGTCCTAGGAGTGAGGTACTGAACGTCTGAGCCACCTTCACTGAATGGCTCTGGAATCTGCTTCTTTAAGGACTGAGCAGCTCTTTGTAATTATGGCTGGTGTTTGTTATATCAAGGTCCAGGATTTTCTAGAAATAATCAAGCATGTGATTGGATTAAAGTGTTGGCTAAGTCTGTCAAACAGAAGTACAGATAACTTTCTCTTTAATTAGCTACTGGCATGAAACTTCCTGAATGTCTTGCTCATTGTCATTCTGGAATGACGTTATTAATACTGCAATATTTGTAAATTTCTTGTCAATGTGGCTAGACTGATGAAATGTTTTGTTTTAAAGTCACACTGTACATGTGTGCTTCCTCTTTCCTCAGATGATGTAGCTTGTCTATATGCTTTATTCTTTTCTATATAGGGGTTAGTTTATAGTTGAACGTTGCACTACCTTAGATAGGAAGTGATCTCATGAAGTGTGAAGTGCTTCAACTTGGGTAGATAAATGTATGGGCTGTCAGCTGTCACCAGATTTGTCAGCAAGGCAAAATGTTTAGGGATGGGTCTGCTTCTGTTTTTTAATGTATTGTATACTATTTGTAGGTATTCTTGTTCCAGTAAGCTTTTGCTTAGTGAGATGTAACTTTCACTGTCCACTCCTGGTGTTCAGTGTTTTGTAGAACTAATCACACATAATGTTGGAGGAAGGTGTTGGAAAAATCTGTTAAACGGATGTACAGATAACTTTCTCTTAATTAGCTACTTCCATGATACTTTCAGAATGTCTTAGACCCGTGAAGGTCCCGGGTTAGAATTGGTCTTCAGTAACCCATGCTTGTCGTAAGAGGCGACTAACAGGATCGGGTGGTCAGGCTCGCTGACTTGGTTGACACATGTCATCAGTTCCCAATTGCGCAGATCGATGCTCATGCTGTTGATCACTGGATTGTCTGGTCCAGACTCGATTATTTACAGACTGACGCCATATAGCTGGAATATTACTGAGTGCGGCGTAAAACTAAACTCACTCACTCACTCACTCAGAATGTCTTACCAAAGAATGAAGTAGCTAATCAGGAATTGTTTGCAAATGTCATGACCCATGGAACTGTTTGTTTTAAAGTAAAATCAAATATATGTATTTGCTCTTTCCTCAGATGATGTAGCTTGGCTATATGCTTTTCTATATAGGTAAATTTTGTTGAAAGTCATACTGCCTCAGACAATGATTTTCCAAACTGGAAGTGATCTCATGAAGTGTGAAGTGCTTCAACTTGGGTAGATAAATGTATGGGCTGTCAGCTGTCACCAGATTTGTCAGCAAGTCAAAATGTTTCTGGCAGAAAATTATTGGGATTTAACATGTTTTCTTCTGTTTTTTTTTAATGTATTGTATACTATTTGTAGGTATTCTTGTTCCAGTAAGCTATCAGTTGGTGAGATGTAACTTTCACTGTCCACTCCTTGTGTTCTGTGTATGTGACTATGTGTTTTTCATCACGTTTCAGTGATACCAGAGATTTTGGGCAGATCCCACAAGTTGGAAAAGACAGCGCTATCTGTATCCCTGTACACTGAATGCTTGGGGTCAGGAGGGGGACGCAGCGACCCCACATGGTTCAAACTACCGCCCCCTATTCCTGTACAAAATGTTGACTCTTACAAGATGAAATTCATCCGGGATTCTAGTCCTAACATGAAGAATCTACAAAAGCAGTTGCAAGATGGCTACACTGATCTCAAGTTTGAGTCAGATGGTTCTTGGACCCTTGAATGCTGCCTTACCAAAGATGTGCCTGATGTCAGAAAGATAGCCAAATCATGGCTGAAAGGTGCAACTGAGGACTTGGAGCATTTTCTGTCCCTTCTCATCACAGAGAAGGTGAATGTCCTTCAGGAAGTTTGGGATGATGTGATAACAGAAGTTCAGAAAATGAAAATGCCACGAAAAGATGCAGCAACTATTTATATATTTGATGAATCGCATCTGATAGTTGTGGTTGGCCATAAGCTGCTGGCAGAAAACCTGTCTAAACAGGTGAAGGAGGTCGTAGCAACTGTGGAGGGAGACCATGAGCGGAAGAAGAAAGAAATTACCGAATCAGTGGCAAATCTCAAGTCATGGCAGTTACGCCTACTGCTGGCTCTTGGCTTCCCCAGTGAGATGATGAAGAAATATGAACACCTGAAAGTTGAAATTTGTGTCAAGAAAAATGTGATGACACTTACCGGGTTGATGTCTGTAGTAAAATCTGCAAAAGTTGACATGTATGAAACAACAACTAACTTCAAAGACACATCTTTGTCGAATCTGTCGGATGCCCAGATGATGCTTGTTCAGAAGACTGATGTGAGGAAGTACATCGAGAAAAAACTGAATCTGAAACACCTAGTTGGTGTCTGGGAGGCAGACAATGGTAAACTGAAAGTGTATGGAAGGACGGATGCTGAAGTGACGGATGTATCTCACATTGTGAGGCAGAGCGTGGTCCAGCAGTTGATAAACCTGGACCCAGAATCTGTCCCACTCCTGGACTCTACAGAATGGAAGAGGATCAATGACGACCAGACGCAGAACAGAGGAGACATGGTGAAGATCATTATAGCAGTGGATAAGTCTCATATTGTTATAGCTGCTACAGACGAACTGGTAGCTGGGGTGGCAGAGGAGGTGAACAACTTCCTAAAAGAAAACACAGTGTACAGCGACACTGTCCAGTTTCCCAAGGGGATCCAACGTTTCATGACCATGCATCTGGATGGGGAAATCAGACAACTTTCAAGTACTTTTCAAGCCCACTCTGTTCAGATAATATTTCAAAAGTCTTCACAGGATTTTACAGTGAAAGGAACCAAAGTTGGATTAAGAATTTGTATGTCAAAACTAGAGGAAATCTCACGACGAGTGATGCACACAAGTCACCTGTTTGGCAAACCAGGGATTTGTAAATTGATCCTGTCCAAGAAAGGTGATCAACATATCAGAAATATTGAGGAAAATGGACGGTGCGTGATAGAGAGAAACTTTGACGACCAAGTGCAGCCAATCTATGGCAAGAAAGGAGAGCAGAGGAATATGAGATCAGGAGGCGGGATTCAGACCTTGGCAACATGTGACCTTGGAGCAGGCCGAACTCTGAGTGTATGTCAAGGTGACATTACACGGATGAAAGTGGATGTTATCGTGAATGCAGCCAATCAGCAACTGGCACACATCGGTGGACTTGCCAAGGCTATAGTAGACAAAGGTGGGTTCAGAATCACACCTTTGCATTTCAGGTGTGTCTTGAGTTTGAGGTACTTGTATAAACATAAATAAATGTGCACATCCTGTTTGTGGAGTGGAGCAAAGAGTGCACCCTATGCTCATCTTTGAAAATCCATACATGTAAAAAACTATTTTTACCAGTACAGACTTCTTTTCAAATCATGTAGGGAAGAATCTGAAAATGTCTCACAAGCAAAGATCATTTTATTATCAGCCAGGAACCAGTAGTCTGTAGGGCTGTGCAATATTATTGGTAAACCAGAATATACCAGTGGAGTATCTCGCGATACGATTATTGCGATATGGTTCAGATTCTGCAATATATTGGGTCGTCCAGAGTTAGCTCCCTTTGAATTATCTGCCCTTGATTTCCATAGCATCAAAATGTGCGCAAAAAGTGCTCAATATGCTTTTGTTTCTTTTCTGTTTTCATGGTACAAGTGGAAGTGTCTTTATAAGTGGATCCAAAAGTGCCAAATATTCTACAAAATGCTTTAAGTTTTTTGGGTTTGAATGGTTTCATATGTGATGTTTTGGAGGAGTTAAGTGGCCTCAAATGGACAAATCATTTAAGAAAAGCAAGAGTAATGGATATCAACTTCTTGTTGTGAATAGCACAATTCTTAGGAGTGTGTGCTTGCTATTTCATCAGGTCATGAATATTCACAATAATAAAGTTGACATCCATAAATCTTGCTTTTCTTATGCATTCCACTTCTAAATGCCCTTCATAGGTTTGACCAATCTTTTACTTAGACTTATAAGAAGAGCTACTGGCTCTGAGTGACAATTTCACAATTCACATTATTTTGTTATTTTTGTTTAGTTTCATCATGGGACATATGTTATCAATATATGATAAAGACCAAAGTCTTGTAAATTTTGTCGGACTGTATAATGACATTCTATTCACGGATCTTAGTTATTGGAGGTCACATGAGATTTTAAGCGCAAATAGTTCACCTAAATCATGTTTTTGTTTCATTTTACAACAGTTCATGTTAACACATGTTTAGATTGGAGTTAAATCTGAATGAATCATTGACAAACACTTACAAAATTACATTCTGCATTGAAGTGCATTCTGTTGAAGCAAACAACACTGACCATGAAAATCATGTTATACTATTACCTTTATCATTATGTTCGCAAAACTTTGTTGCAATACAGTTACTTCAAAGAAACATTCCATGTTAAGGCTCTATGTCATTTATCTGTACACCACTGGCATACACCCATACACAATGGGGACTGGGAGCCTGAAAGTATGGTGTAACAGCAACTACAAAGACGATGTCGCACACAGAGAGCTATTATGAATTTATGATGTACATACTTGGACAGAAACCTTCCAGTCAATATATCAAAATATGTATTGCAACATCTCTTGAGTTATTGCAATATATCGCAATATGAATTTCAGGGCAATATCAAGCCCTAGTAGTCAGTACGAAGGCATGGCCCAAGGTAATTTTAGTGTGTGGAGACTATATGCATTGCTTGATAACATGAGTATTTAGATTGGAATTTTTAAATTTTGAATTATTTTCATTGTACATGCTCTTTGAGTTAGGTTCTTAGTTTGTTTTAAAATTTGATCAACATTGGTTTAAGTCCAGGGTAGCCAAAGGTCATTGTTGAACTTTCAGTTGAAAGTTAGCATTTCCTTTTTGACAAACCATAAATATTTTGTAGAAAACCAATGAAAACACAAACATACAGAGACACCCATTTTCTTTACATCAGTGTTAGATTACTGTTATTGCACATAAATGTCCAGAAGTATCCATTGATAATTGTTTAGGGCATCATGGCAACAGTGTCATAAAAATGCTAATTAGAACTGTTGTACATTCTTAAACATCATTTGTAGGTTTTGCAGGTTGTATCTATCACTAATCGGACTGGTTAACCAGCCTTTAACTCATAGCTGTTTCTGTGTCCATCCATGTCTTGATTGCAGATTGTGATAGTCAAGATACAGGTGGGCTACAGAGTCTTTTGGCTCTCCTTTTATCACAATTACTATATCTTATAACAAAACATATCTTCTATGCAGGTGGACTATCCATTCAGGTAGAAAGTGACAAGATAAGACAGAGTCAGGGTGACATACGTGTCGGAGATGTTGCAGTCACCAGCCCAGGCAACCTACCCTGCAAGCTTGTCGTCCATGCTGTAGGACCAATATGGTCGGGAGGGACAAATGATGAACAGGGTCTTCTTCAAGAAGCTATATTTAACAGTCTTGAGAAAGCTGACAGTTGTGGCTTATCCTCCATTGCCATACCTGCTTTGAGCACAGGTATTTATAGATACCCAGTAGCAGCAGCAACCAAAAACATCATAGAAGCAATACAGCTCCATTTCACAGACACTCCAGGGAGTCAGGTGATGAACGTCTACGTGTGTGACAACAACGCCTCCACCGTCCAGGACTTCATGCAGGCTGTAAAGCAAAGGTTTGCAGCAGACGCTGTAACTGTAGGAAACCAAGATGGATCTGTGCAGGGTGGTGTGGTTGAAGACAGACATGTTCCAGTAAACAGAGGAAGACCGAGAAAGGGGCAAAGTAGGTTCAGTCTGTCAGTTTGCCACATTCATTCTGAAATGTTTAATCCTATTCAGACAAATTATCCAACACTAAACACTATTCAAAGAAATCATCAAACATTATGCACTATTCATTGTAATTATCAACCACTAAACACTATTCTAAGGAATTATTAAACACTAAACAGTATTCAAAGGAATAGACCGATCCAGTCTGTCAATCAAAACTGGCGCATGCGTCAATTTTGGCCAATCAGCAGGCCGGGCGCGCTGTGTGGATTTGTCAAACTTATTTCCGGGGTCAAATGATGCACCCGAAGCGATGTGCTTCGAATTATGCCATTTACACTCGCTATATTTATTACATATTGCTGCGATTTGATGTGTACCTCAACAAAACCATTACGGTCAAGACAACAAAAATGGAGGCAGATCAAGAAACGCGATAGGCCTAACGATCAGTTAAATGTCTGCACCATCGTTCAGGAAACCTACAGCTGCCTGCTGATGAGAATTTGCACGAATTTCCACACTTTTGCACATGTGCAAAATCATTACCAATTGATGACAACAAATAGCAGTTTAAGACTTTGCAAGTGTTATAAACAAGGACAATTCTTGTAACTACAAAATTGTTTTTGCTTAACGTTTTTAGTCACTACTAGGCATTGAGGTGGTACGCCATAAAGCTCAAATGAGACAGGCGAGAAAGCCGTAACACAATGTAAACAAATCTTCATTTCGGTTAGGGTCAACCGAAATAGCAAAACTTGTTACATGAAAGAACAATGTGGTGGATATTGTCCCCTTCGCTCTTAGATATTCTTCAATTTGCCACACATTTTAGGATGTTTTAAGTTTCATAAGCACAATCTGAAGGCCTACAGTATCTTGTTAACAGGGCAAAATATTCGAGGAGTAATATTTTTTATTCAAACGGAAATATTGTCTGTGTCAGCAGTTGCCTATCATGCAATATCCAAGTATCAAAATTAGTTCATATGAGTGCCTATAAAACCATGCTTTAAATATTTCAGATTTTTTATAAAGAGTTGCATGGGACTTTGAACTGAATTACCTTCCTCCATGTTAATCGAATACGAAAACTATGTGACAAGAATAGTGACTTTCTGGAGTATTGGATGGAGTGAAAAAAGTGTATATCTTAATTATGAGAACATTATTTGAAGTTTTGTTACTACATAAATTATTCACATATAATGGTACATTTTAGGAGTAATATTACAACTGTAATTTTGATTAATTCACTGGAAATGATAGCAAGGTATGTTTTAAGAATCTTGCTTTTTTGAGTAAACGTGGAAGGGTAATAAAATTGATAATAATCTAATCAATAATAAATAATTATTTAATTGATTGACATATCAGATTTTTTAGATTTTAAGGCAGAACTAGGCAAACAAACACCGTACATATCATGGCAGGACAATCACTTGGTATTAACTTAGTTTCTTGGCTCCTGCTTTTAGATGTTTTTTTAAATACTACATTTACTAATAAGATAATTCTGAAAGTGATTGCTAGTATCATAACTCATTAAAGTTATTTCAACATCCAGAAAATTTGAAAAAGCAAAGGCTACGTTTTGGTCAAACCCTGGTCAGGCATTATCCAGTCCTGGAACAGAATAACTTACAAAAATCTCAGGTGACTTCATGTAACAGAATAAAGATTGAAACATATATTAAACCCATATTTGATGTAATTCTTCTGATAAATCATAAGTTTTTTAGGAGGTTACTAATATTTGAAGACTGAGCCAAAGCTAGTGTTTATTAAGATGGTGGATTTGGACAAATTGTTCAAGGTTTGTTGATTGTTATTTGCAAAATGAGCTTCATATTAAATTGCACACTGGTTTGTAGGAGGTGAACGCTTCAGGACATTTTCATGTCTGTTTTCCTAAACCTTTGTTATGACTTTTACCAAATTTTGAATCAACTTTACTATAATTTTTATGACACCAGTAAGTATCTCAGAAAAGGAAATAGATGAAAATCAGTGTTATGTCCCCTAGATTATCTTTGTTTAATTAAGAAGCAATAATGTCAATATGTAATTGTATTGACAGAAGGCTTTGAACATAGGATATATTCTTTGCACCTTATTTACGCTAGTAGTTAGCAGTTAAACATCTCTGGTGAAAAAACAATAGATCTACATTTGTATTTTGTGTAACATTCTATTTCAATGCTAGTTAATTGTTCGGATAACTGTGGATTCTCTGTTCCAACATTTTGCATCACTTGTTTCCTATTTCTGGAAGATGGGTCAGCTAGTGTACAGGTGCAGACTGTATCTTGGATCTTTGTGTTCTGGTGCTGTGACATACCTGTACATAAAGGCTGGCAGTTCATGAAGTCCAGTATTGTGGAAGTTTGTATGTAAATTAGGATTCCACAACAAAGTACATATAGAAAAATTAAATGGAAATGATGATTAAAAAAATGATTTCCTGATATTCAGTGTCATTTTATCATGGTGTACAGATTTTGAAGAGAGAAACTTTACTGAGAGTTGCTGCAGATCAGCTGTTGAATATTTGCTTCTGGGTACGTCCAGATACGTCCATGGAAACATATTGTTTACAAGCCCAATTACCCTTTTTTTTTAGATTTCCAAATAAGATCAAATAGGTTATGCTGTGATTGATTTGTTTACATTAATTGTACAGACAAATAAGGTGCATGAAGTAGTAGACGGGAAATATTTTCTGCTTTTTATTTACCATTCTCTTAATTCATTAAAAGATAGAAACCCATGTTTTCAGATTATTGAACTAAATTTGAACAACGCCAATGGATAAGTAAAGGCGCCACGCGCAGTGTTGATAATCTATTTGTAGATACCGAAACGATCTGCAACATGAACATGTGGTTGTGTTCACGAGTTGTAAAAAATTATAAACCCAAACAACAAAATTCAGTTATCCATCCCCTGCTAATATTTGTGACGGAGGTGAATTGCCAGATAGATTAATTGATCGAAAGAAATTACGCTTCCTACAGTCTCAGCAGCTAGTCGAGACGCTTTTTCATCGGGCATGTAACTCATTTTCACTCGCCAGTTGTAATCTGCCAGCTAAAATATATTAAAAATCACATACGTATAACTTGCCTTTTTAAATAACATTCACAAACGACGGATACCAAAGTATCACAAGCAGAATTCATCAACAACGTTCGCAATCACGTAACGTTTCGTCGGCGGTGACGCCATTGTGATTTGCCAGTGGTTGTCCCCCCTAACGTAAAAAACGAAGTGAGCGGGGCTTATCGGCCGGGACTGGATCAGTCTGTTGTCAAACTTTAAACACTATTCAAAGTACTTGTCAAACATTATGCACTATTCAAAGGAATTATCTAGCATTTTGCACTATTCAATGTAATTATCAAACACTAAATACTAAAGGAATTATCCAATGCTAAACACTATTCAAAGGAATTATCCAGAACTAACCACTATTCAAAGAAATTATCAAACACTAAACACTATTCAAAGTAATTATCAAACACTTACCACTATTCAAAGTAATTATCAAACACTAAGCAATATTGGAAGTGATTATGAAACAATAAGCACTATTCAAAGTAATTATGAAACACTATCGGTATCCAAAGGAATCATCCAACACTAAATGCTATTGAAAGGAATTATCAAACATTTTGCACTGTTCAAAGGAATTATCAAACACTAAACACTATTCTAATTAATTATCAAACACAAAACAGTATTCAAAAGAATTGTCAAGCACTATTCGCTATTCAAAGTAATTGTCAAACATTATGCACTATTCAAAGGAATTATCAAACACAAAACAGTATACAAAGGAATTGTCAAACACTACTCAATATTCAAAGTAATTGTCAAACAGTATGCACTATTCAAATGAATTATCAAACACTAAACAATATTGAAAGGAATTATCAAACATTTTGCACTGTTCAAAAGAAATTGTCAAACACTAAACACTATTGAAAGTAATTATCAAACATTATGCACTATTCAAATGAGTTATTAAACACTACACACTATTCAAAGGAATTATCAAACACTAAACACTATTCTATTTAATTATCAAACACAAAACAGTATTCAAAGGAATTGTCAAGCACTATTCGCTATTCAAAGTAATTGTCAAACATTATGCACTATTCAAAGGAATTATCAAATACAAAACAGTATACAAAGGAATTGTCAAACACTACTCACTATTCAAAGTAATTGTCAAACAGTATGCACTATTCAAATGAGTTATTAAACACTACACACTATTCAAAGGAATTATCAAACACTAAACACTATTCTAATTAATTATCAAACACAAAACAGTATTCAAAGGAATTGTCAAGCACTATTCGCTATTCAAAGTAATTGTCAAACATTATGCACTATTCAAAGGAATTATCAAACACAAAACAGTATACAAAGGAATGGTCAAACACTACTCACTATTCAAAGTAATTGTCAAACAGTATGCACTATTCAAATGAATTATCAAACACTAAACAATATTGAAAGGAATTATCAAACATTTTGCACTGTTCAAAAGAAATTGTCAAACACTAAACACTATTGAAAGTAATTGTCAAACATTATGCACTATTCAAATGAGTTATTAAACACTACACACTATTCAAAGGAATTATCAAACACTAAACACTATTCTAATTAATTATCAAACACAAAACAGTATTCAAAGGAATTGTCAAACAGTATGCACTATTCAAATGAATTATCAAACACTAAACAATATTGAAAGGAATTATCAAACATTTTGCACTGTTCAAAAGAAATTGTCAAACACTAAACACTATTGAAAGTAATTGTCAAACATTATGCACTATTCAAATGAGTTATTAAACACTACACACTATTCAAAGGAATTATCAAACACTAAACACTATTCTAATTAATTATCAAACACAAAACAGTATTCAAAGGAATTGTCAAACAGTATGCACTATTCAAATGAATTATCAAACACTAAACAATATTGAAAGGAATTATCAAACATTTTGCACTGTTCAAAAGAAATTGTCAAACACTAAACACTATTGAAAGTAATTGTCAAACATTATGCACTATTCAAATGAGTTATTAAACACTACACACTATTCAAAGGAATTATCAAACATTAAACACTATTCTAATCAATTATCAAACACAAAACAGTATTCAAAGGAATTGTCAAGCACTATTCGCTATTCAAAGTAATTGTCAAACATTATGCACTATTCAAAGGAATTATCAAACACAAAACAGTATACAAAGGAATTGTCAAACACTACTCACTATTCAAAGTAATTGTCAAACAGTATGCACTATTCAAATGAGTTATTAAACACTAAACACTATTCAAAGGAATTGTCAAACACTAAACACTATTCAAAAGGAATTATCATTGTTAATCCTAAGCATACCACCTCTTTTACATCAGGGTTAGTCCCTCCCACCACCTTTCCAAGATGTTCTGTGTTATGAAAGGAAGTGATGCACATGAACATGCTTGGACAGGAATGTACTAATTGTATTTCAATTTAGTGATAGCTGTTGGTGAAACAGCCATAACACAGAATTACCAAAAATGGCAATGATGTCATATTTAAGAAATACACTTCGCTCTACCACCATGTATAGTGTAATGAAACACATTTTTGCCCTGAACTGTTATAGTTAAAGCCTGAGGACGCTTGCGTCCGAGTGCTTTAACGTTATAATAGTTCAGGGCGAAAGTGTGTTTTATTACACTATACATGGTGGTAGGGCGAAGTGTATTTCTTTTCTAAGATGCCAAATTTAATACTTTCTAAAGATAATTACGATTAATTTAAGGCAGAAAACAAACGACGGTGTCGGTGACCTAAATTAAGAATCCTCGCGACAGGGCTAACTGGCGCTGTTCTATTGATGTGTCTGCCCCTACGCTACATCTAACGCTACCAGAAAAATACAAATGATAACAGTTTCATGACGGTTTACGTTCGGATTAAATATCTTCTCTGAATTACTTTAATTACATCTGTCATTAACGTAAACCATATGGGGCAATATGAACGTTGCATTTCTACTATCAGCGTAAGTTTAGATCAGTACATCCAGAGGAAGTTGAGTAGTTAAGCGACATTCCACAATTGCATTGTGGGAATGTAAACATTACGAACGTTACCGTGTCGCTGAAAACTTGTGAGTCGAAATGACACATTTTAACCGTCGTTAAACATAAACGTAATGTTTCCACCAGTGATGTTAGCTGCGTGAAGCAACAGCAAACCAAGAAACTGGATGCAACGGTGTAGTTTACTGTAGGAGGCCGTACGAGGCGATGACAACTGACATGCATCGTACGTCGCTTACATTGTGACGTAATGTAAAATGGTTCGATTACGAGGGGGCACACTAGAATGGCGCAGTGACGGGATAAAGTCATTCAATTGTTACGTAATCAAAAAACTATACCTTTATTGTCTGATAATGTTTGTTTTTTTCGATTGTTCTAACCGCTAGGCATCTTAGAAGAGTATTTATTCTAAGAATTATTCACAGTGATACGTTCTGTTTGATTTTTTAAGAATGGCAGGGGTCTGTATAGGAAGATGCTAAAGCCTTCAAAACAACACAGAAGAACATTTGATTATACAATTATGCTCATTTTACATTCCAAATAGTAATGTTATTAATAATATTTCAACAATATATTGATATTAATTCCTTCCACATCAAACTAATATGCCATCACATATCTGGAATACTGTTCAAAGTGTCATTTAATCCCACTCACTCACTTATTCACTCCCTGACAATCATTGAGGATACATTGTTTTATGTTGCATGTGGTAGAGTACCATATTGGTATGTGTTTATCCTGGGACCGATACAGTTAGAGCCTTTGGGTACAACATGACCCCAAACTAACAGTCTAAGTAAACTTACACTGCTATACTGAGTCTAACAAACCCTAGTAGAAGGTCGCATCAGCTAACCTTTTGGACTGACCAATCAGAACACAGCTTACCTAATCGCGAAAGTTAACATTCGCACATATCGTCTGAACCTTTACCTAAAAAACTCAAATGATTCTGATTGCTATTTTCCATCGCTTCCGAGTGATACACATGGAGGACACGATGAGTAAATAGTCGCTGAACATAGAGTTTTTGTCAATATTCAAGGATGTCATCTGTGGAAATTTATGCTAATAGTAACCATGTCATTAGGAATCCCTAAGCATACACACTGCAGGTCAAATATCTGTGTTTTATGCGAATTTGCGTTTGTTGATAGATCAGTGTCAGCGACCAGGGAAGAGAAAATCCAAAAAACGTTTTGTAAGTCCCGCCGAACCCTAACAAGTAGTCGTTTTCTGATTGGTTAAATCCATTCGGCCGTCTCGCATTTGATTGGACGGTCATACATCACTATGAATAATACTGAGCCTAAATTTACTTAGACTGCCAAACTAAGTAACCCAGTTATGTGCCAGTGCAACAGAAATACATTGCTTGGTATCTGTCTCCTATGTTGTATCAATCCATTACTATAACACCTTGTATGTTAGTGTTTGAGGATCTATGGAAAGTTCAGTATCTTCTCTTCTTGATAAGGTATGTTTACCATGACAAGGATACAGACTGGTGAACAGATTTGTTTTTCAATGGTTGGTTCTTTTACAAAAGTTCTTTTTCGTGTTTTTCAAGGATCTTCACAACATAATCCTTCACCTTCACATGGAAGACCAGCACAAAGCATGTCAAGGATAAAGATAAATGTTGTCCCCGGAGAGATAGCGAAGGAACAGGTATGTTCTGGATTTATGACTGGATGATGATGATTATGAAGCTGATATTCTAGTCTGTCTTGGACATTTGTGGATGATGCAAGACTTAGTTTGGGGGGTGGGGGGTGGCTACTGTAACCTAGATCATTTCAGTATGACCTTTCTTTCAAGTTTCAGATAACTTTTGACAGTTCGTGTGTGTCTCTGTGTATGTGCATGCGTGCGTACGTGTGTGGTGTGTGTGATTGTATCAGTCATTCATCAATAGTAATAGTAATAGTAATAATATTGGGTGTAATTTTCACTTAAAGTCAGTTTATGGTTTACTTGTTAGGTAAATGCCAATATTAGACCATCAGGTAATAATTTAAAGTTTATGATAAAATTGATATTTTATACTTATCCTGACTCATGCCTTTTTGCTTACTGATTCCTCTCTTCCGAACGGTTAAGTGGTAACTTGAATCCTTTCAGTTCCCTTAAAAAGAAGGTACAATCACTCACCCTTGAGTTACCTCCCTTTTGGCGCCAAAAGGCACCCACGGGACCTGCACACGCCTTATCCTCACTCTCTCTGAATATACCCTAGATTTTGTATCACCTATTTCAGCACGGCTCCCTTGAGAGCTGCATAAATCGCCTTACCTGCACATGCTGCATGTCGTTGGATAGCTGGATCCCGGAGCTACATGGAGAATGTTTCCGCTTGTTTTTATGCAAATTTATAGCCGAGCAATTAAGGTTTCTGTGATTTTAAGCTGTGCGGTTTTCTTCCACCGGAGGCTGGGTGGAACAAATTTCTTCCACCCAGCCTCCGGTGGAAGTAGCCCGCGCCATTGCATTTTGGAAGCTTTCTACTTTGTCGTATCTATGCATGTTATACATTGTCGGAAACCGGAGGAAACACTCTCTCCAAATATGCAAACGTGAATATCATGCTGCCCCTGGTAACCAGTCCAGATTGAAACTCCGACGTGATGTTTTGTGTAATTTTACTGAAGTTCAATTCTTCTGTGATATAGCGATTTTTCGACGACATAATGCAGTCATGATATAACAGCTACTACTCTTACACATCACCTCAGAATATATATTTGTATAGTGCGTTTGAAAGCCAATTAAGACGTGTTTTAGACAATGTATACATAATACGCACATGTTGCACATTCAGTAGTGGAGTTGCATGAGTATTAATGTGCGAACTGCAAACTATATGGGACGAGATATAGATTAGCGGAATTTAGATGAATCTGTGAACGGTGTCGTGTCACCTCCGACATGAGCGAATGTAGGGCGACATGAGCGCATGTAGTGTTCGGCTATACTTTCTATGCCCGTGGTTCGATTCTTCATTTCTATAACTCATATGAAAGCCTTTCAAAATGCCCTTTGGCGACGTATATGACATACATGTGCGACATTTTGCAAAGGTGCTACACACATCTGAAGTTGCCGCCGCCTGTGGTGTCGTGTCACCTCTGACATGAGCGCATGTAGTGTTCGGCTATAATGTCTATACCCGTGGTTTTATCCTTCATTTCTATGACTCATATGAAAGCCCTCTAAAAAGCCCTTCTAACGATGTATAACATGGACATGTGCAATATTTTGCAAAGGTGCTACACACATCTGAAGTTGCCGCCGCCTATGGCGTCGTGTCACCTCTGACATGAGTGTATGTAGGGCGACATGAGCGCTTGTAGTGTTCGGCTATAATTTCTATACCTGTGGTTCGATACTTCATTTCTATAACTCATATGACAGCCCTCCAAAATGCCCTTCTAACGATGTATAACACGGACATGTGCAATATTTTACAAAGGTGCTATATACATCTGAAAATGCCGCCGCCTCTGGTGTCTGTGTCACCTCCGCCATCAGTGGATGTTCACTTCGGCTATAATTTCTATGTCCATGGTCTGATTTTCAATATGTCTTATGCATTCAAAATCCCTCGAAAGTACGCTTGAAACGACGTGTAACACGGACAAGTGCGACGTTGTGCAGAGACGCTACACACGTCAGTTTATACCGCCGCTTCTTGTGTCGGCGGCCTTTCAAATGGGCCTTTGTTCAGGCTTTTTCTTATCGCGTCTTTGTTTGCTTCTAAATCCGTTATACCTATCTTCTACAGCGTATAACACGTACATGTGCAAGATTTTCCAAAGGTGCTACACACATCTGAAGTTGCCGCCGCCTATGGTGTCGTGTCACCTGCGACAGGAGCGCATGTAGTGTTCGGCTATAATGTCTATACCCGTGGTTCGATCCTTCATTTCTATAATTCATATGAAAGCCATCTAAAATGCTCTTCTAATGACGTATGACAAGGACATGTTCAATATTTTGTAAAGGTGCTACACACATCCAGAAGTTGCCGCCGCCTATGGTGTCGTGTCACCTCCGACATGAGCGTATGTAGGGCGACATGAGTGCATGTAGTGCTCGGCTATACTTTCTATGCCCGTGGTTCGATTCTTCATTTCTATAACTCATATGAGAGCCCTCTACAATGCGCTTCTAACGACATATAACACGTATATGTGCGGCAATTTTTCAAAGGTGCTATATACATCTGAAAATGCCGCCGCCTCTGGTGTCTGTGTCACCTCCGCCATCAGTGGATGTTCACTTCGGCTATAATTTCTAAGTCCATGGTCTGATTTTCAATATGTCTTATGCATTCAAAATCCCTCGAAAGTACGCTTGAAACGACGTGTAACACAGACATGTGCGACGTTATGCTGAGACGTTATGTCGGTTTATACCGCCGCTTCTTGTGTCGGCGGCCTTTCAAATGGGCCTTTGTTCAGGCTTTTTCTTATCGCGTCTTTGTTTGAGTAAAGGCGATGGTGGTGAAACGATGGCTGGTGCAGGCAAACCAGATCGAGTCTTGGCAGTGGCTCAGAGGCGACTTGGCAGTAGGCAAGCGCAAATGGTTGTGATTTTCTGCTGGAAGCAGGACGAAATGATGGTGTTACATAGGAGTAAAGGGGCGACCCTTAGAGGAGAGGCGAGGGTGGGAAAACGGTAGCTGGCGCACACAAACCAGTTTGAGTCTCGGCAGTGGCTCAGAGGCGACATGGTAGTAAGCAAGCGCAAACGGTGGTGATTTCTGCTGGAAGCAGGACGAAAAGGGGCGACCCTTAGCGGAGAGGCGATGGTGGCGAAATGGTGGCTGGCGCAGGCAAACCAGTTTGAGTCTCGACAGTGGCTCACAGGCGACTTGGCGGTAACTGTGCATGATTTGCGTGTCAAATCTTTGCAATTCCCTAAGGTGTGGCATATGGGAAAGGATAGGTCTATTGCTGTAGTGTGTCTACAGCTATACTGAGTCAAAAAAGAAACTTCACAAAATGTAATTTGAAAAATAATGAATAATTTTTCTCTGATGATACATCTATGTATCCGAAATGGGATCCCTATCTTTCAACTCTAGAAAAACGTTAGCAAAACCCACTCAAACCCATCCATTCGTCGTGCAAATGACGTTAGTGCCAAATCAGGTTTTGCACGTGCAGTCGATCACGTGATCTTCACATCGAAGTTTTCTTCATATGCACGTGTTTGCATTGGCCTCAAGAATTGAAAAAAACACTTTTAAACCACAATTCTAACGGTACTTGAAATGCCACGATTGTCAAATGTGCAACGTGAACGTGCCGTTGGCATGTTGCATGCGGGAAGATCAGTTATTGACGTCGCAAGAGCAATGGGTTGCAGCCGTCGTACTGTGTATGACTTTGCAGGTCGTCTACAACAAACTGGCACCACTTCTGATCGCCTAAGGTCGGTCGCCTACGTGACGTCACGAGCAGAAGACCGTCAAATCGTCCTACGTCACCTACGTGACAGATTCTGCCGGCTATACGAACCAGGGCTGAGATGTTTAGAGATCGACTGTCCTCACAGACCATTCGAAATCGGTTGCGGGCTGCCAATCTCCATTCTTGACGTCCATATCGTGGGCCACCTCCGATGGACCCAGAGAGACTGGAATCGAGTCGTCTTTAGTGATGAATCCAGGTTTACCCTCAGATTCACGGACGGCAGGCATAGAGTCTGGAGACGACATCGTGAACGGTATGCCCAATGTTGTGTACAGGAAGTCGACAGATTCGGGGGCAGAAGTTGCATGGTGTGGGGTGCTTTCTGTGGGAACAACCGTTCCCGACTTCTGGTCATCCGTGGAAACCTCACAGCTGCTGCTTACCGTGACCAGGTGCTCACCCCTGAACTCGTTCCTTTCATGGCGGCTCATGGCCCAGGTCTACAGTTCCAGCATGATAATGCTCGGCCGCGATACCGCCGATGTTGACACGAAATTTCCTTCAAAACGCTGGAATCAACGCCATGGACAGGCCATCGAGGTCCCCTGACCTTAATCCAATAGAGCACGTTTGGGATGCACTTGGGAGAAGGCTTCGCGGGTCTTAGGAACCAACCTCAGAATTTGCAGGAACTTGGCTGCCTTGCAAGAGCAATGGCGCAGAATCCCCAACCATGTGTTCACAAGCATCAGGCAGTCGATGAGGAAATGGTGTTTGGCAGTGGTGAATGCGTGGGGCGGCCATACACGATATTGAACTGAGAAATTTCGCATTTTTATTCTTGTGACTTGACATTCTGTATACCCATGTTTTGGAACGGCGGTGTAGCCTAATGGAACTGATTATGGCACTGTCAGTGTATCGAGTACATCACACAGATCTCAGCAATGAAATAATAACAATTTAACCATCTTACCATCTCTTGTTCTTTTATAGTGCCCTGAAGAAAGAATGTGAAGTTTCTTTTTTTGACTCAGTATATATACATGAGGCACCCAATCGATGGGTAGACGCGAGGGCATGACATGCCAGACGGACATTGGCGTTTTCTGACGTTTGTTATGCATGTTGATGTAAAGTGTAGTTTGTATGTGTTGTTCATCACATGTAGCAGCTCCACTGCCATTATCAACAGTACCTGAAGAAATCACAGAGATCTGATCTACCACGACGACTTTCCTACATAGACTC